GAAGCATGGCGGTCGGTCGGACGCCATGCGGGAAAGTTTGCGACAAAGAAATGTTCTGAAAGACAGCTATTGTTCTGAAAGGTGAAAATTTTACTTACTTGGATGGCTTCTGTGAGTCCAATGCTGGGATAGTATTCTCGACTCAGCGCTCGATTCTTTCCCGCAGAAGACTGTTTTAAAATTCATTTCCATCAGGGAGTACAAATTTTTGACGACGTACTCAGTTTTATTGTGCGATGGTAATGTGCTTAAGAGACGTACACAAGCGAACTACCCGGCTCTGACGAGAGTCGGATCTTTCAAGACCGGATACCTTTCCTCGGGATTTCCATGGACGTTCGAGCTTGGTTGGTAAGTTGCCTGAAGGCCTCCATCGGCTGCTCGCTTCAAGGATGGAATTTTTTGTAGCAGCTCTTTCAACTGGCTCAATTTAGGCTCATTTTGACGCATCAGTCCCACCGTAATCCGGTATGGTAGTTTTTCACCTGCCAGGATACATTCCTCCGTCCATTTGCTACTCGATTTCTTGTTGACTTCTGCTTCAATAATACAACTCTACCTTCCAACCTTCCTCTCCAACTTTGGTAATGACAGGACATCTAGACTCAAGGAATCTTCAGTCATGAAGATGAACAGAAATGGGCCATTCCATTTAATATCCGCACCCCCCCCATTGAAGGCCTGGGATTTCTTAGGGGGAGGGGGGTCAATGCGATATTTTTTCTTAGGGGGGTTGAACTATATTTCTGAGAGGGGTTGCCATAAAGTACCCTTGACAGAAATTCTCACGAGTAGGTTGTGAAGGGGATTCAATTGGTTTGCTTGATAGCGACATAGACTTCTGAAGGGGGTTAAAAAATTTCTTTTCTGGAGGGGTGTTACAGGAAAGCCTTCAATAGGCGGATTTTAATTGGAATGGCCCAATGAAATGAACACACTTGCAGAGTTATGTAGCACCCAACTACTTTTTTTAAACTGTAAAAATTCCAGATATCATTGTGGTATACAGTATCAGTTGGGTTGTACACTATACCCAATTTATGTAAAATATAGATTATAATTTTAAGGAATTTTAGTGAAAGGGTGCAAACTTGTGATAGGCATACACATTATTTCCTAATTTTAAAAGGACTTTGAAAATTTTTGAAAATGTCGCTTTACACATTTTGTTTTTGTTATTATTATTGTGTAGTTCCAGTAACTAGCCATGACCCCCCTCCCCACCCCTCTCCCTCCCCAGAAGGCAAATGAAAATTCCTGGGGGTCGCATTCTCAAACACCAAAACCTATAAAAAAAATATTTGGAGATTTTTCAGAATTTCTGGAGGGTGGGGGTACTTATAAAAAATCCCTTCCATAGGGGAGATATCAAATTTTACAGAGCTACACATTTTGTAGAAATATCTATAATCACCCTACAGACCCCTACTTCTATTGTTGCAAGGAGAGTAAAGCTAAAGACAACTTCCTGGTGCCTAAGTTTTTTAAACCGAAAAAACTTTCTGTGGATGAGATATAGATATTTTCTGGCACAATGCAATCACTGTTGATGTGAACTAGTTTGAAAAAGGCACATTTTACCTGCCACAATTTTTGCAATTCGCTAACATAGTGTTTCAGGTGAGCGAAACCCAAGGTGAGCAGTACCAGGGTAGTACTCCAAAAAGGTTGTACCATTCAAATTTTTATGTGCAGTGTTCCCAAGATTTTGTTTTGCAAACTCTCTGCGCTTTTCTTTTGTGGGGGCTTTTCCACATAGTTCATTCTCCAATTTTTTTTTTGGCAACTCTCTACATCTAAAACTGTCCAAACTGGTTCTGGACTGATGATCTTCATGTCACCCAGTTGGCTCTGGGGCTTCTGGGATTGGATAAGTAGATTTGGCAGATGAACTGCCAGTAGATAACCTCCTTTCCTTACCATCCCCACAAGTGTGTCTTAGACTAATAATTTTTATTTCTTGCCCAGTCAGAGGATGTTTAATTGTTTTTAGCTCTTGAAGCTGTTTATAAACAGCTTCAAGACCACATTTTTTATAAACAGCTTCAATGACCACATTTTTTTTCGTTGTCTCATAGTCATGATACCCCAACCAAAGGGCAACAGTCAAAACTGTGCTAAGTAAATTGTAAGGCTCAACTAGTTTCACTCTTACACTGGTTTCTGCAGTAAAATGATGAAACCATTTAAGCCACAGAAAACCATCTTTGTAATCCATTAGAATCAGATAATTGTTGGGTGGATTTATTACACTCTGAGTTCCAGGTTGGGCAAGAAACAATGAAATGTACTTTTCAATGTCAACATGGCCTACAACCACTTCTCCAAATTCATTAAATTCTAGACCAATTTGTTTCAGTAATTCTTGGCAAATGTCATTCAGATTACCAAAAATCTCATATTTACTTAAAATTGGATTGATGCCAATGGCCACTTCCAATTTTTTTCCCACTTGTTTCTTTCTTTCGCAAGGGACCCGACAATTCCACAAGAAAATTCCAAAAATGCCAAGTGCTGTTTTTTAAAAACACAAGGCATAACAACATCCTTAAAAAAAAGAACCATTGTCAATTTCAAGGAGTCAGTTGCAAGAATTAGGTTTGTTCTTTTGAACTATTTCAGTGAACACTTGCCTCTGGTTATAGAAAACAGTGCTTAAAGTTCTGGTTACTGCAGGAAATGTTCATCTCTGACCTTGCATAATTTGCTGTGAAAATCATGATTTCCATCAGTTCCTTGCAGTAAATAGTCCACAAGTGAAACAATTTTTGCAATCTTTGGTAAAACTAAATCCACAAGTTCTTAATCGTTCAGACAGTTCAGCAGTTCACTGACCCTTTGCTTCCTGGAATAAGGATTACTCTCGTCGTCTAGAAATTTTTCTGCGCATTGTCTTAATGAAACTCGTTTCCGAGAGGTTGACAAGCCAAACAGTTTGTGCTCCGGATAAAGACGAAGATGTTCGTTTAAATTCTTTTTGTTTTTCAAAAATTTACCAGTTTTGAAATGGGATATGAAGTCGAATTACTGACTCGGCAGGAAGCACATTTTCCTTTGCTCGATAAGACATCCAAACAAACAATAAAAATCACAATAACAAAATTAGCCGGTAAAAGAAACAATACATATCTAAAAGTACTTTAAATGCTGAATATCGCCGCGTCAAAAAGCCTGCGATAATGGAACTGACTTCGAGCAACGAAGGCTCGATCAAAACTTCTTTAAAATCAGCACATATAAAAAATGAAATCAACACAAACACACCATTCCCAGAAACAAGGCAGCTTTAATACGAATAACATTTACTGTTGATAAAGCGAATGCCCGATCCAGTACATAAGTAAGCAGAAGTAAGAAATAAAAAAGCAAACTTCATACAGTAAATTACTGCATTATGCATGAGTACATCGAGCTTACGTTTGGATTGTCTGCAATGTTCATCGCGAAAAGCTGTCAAAGTATTTAACCACGCAGACACGGAGTTTCTCACGGCAGTAGCTGCATTGTTCAAACTGCCCATGACAAGTCTTCTCACTTGTTAAAGTGCGAAAGTAGTTAGCTACATCGACTTCGCATCACGCCGACCGGCCGCCATGAAAACAGATTGACTTATTGGTTCGCGCGTTGGTTGATGGGATAGTGCATTAAAATTTCTTTCCCCAGGCCCCCGCAATGACGTCACAGATATCTTGGTGGTGGTAAAGTGGAAGAGCGAGTAAACATTGGGGATAGCATTCATTGACTTTGCCGCTGACCAATTGAAGTAACGATTTGTATCGACTTGAATTTGATGTGATCGATTTGAATTTGATGTGAGCGATTTGTATTTGAGGCGAGTGATTTCAATTTAATGTGAGTAACTTTATTTTGATGTGAATTATCTTAATTTGATGTGAGTGATTTTAATTTGATGTGAGTGAATTTAATTTGAAGTGAGTGTCTTTAATTTGATGTGACAGTTGTAGGCCACCGTAG